AAGTAGGGATAAGGAGTTGGAAGAAATAGTCGTTTCAGGAGGTGTTGATAATAATCCCAAAACGTCAACGCGAAATTTGATATCAACAGGCCTACCAAGAACTAACGTTAGAAGGTTTTTGAAAAAAACAAATTCAAGCCATACAGGACCAGAAAAGTTCATCAACCCAGACCAGGAGATTTTGAACGCCGAATGGCTTTGCCAGTGGTTGTAACAAAGTGCGTGTTTTTTTGTTAAATTATATTTGGAAAGACAAAGCTTATGTGAGCAGTGTTGGCATTTCCAACCGCTACAATTCTTATACTTGGGCACAACAAAATCTTCATTCTATTATGGAGCAGATAAGTTGAAGAAGATTTGGATTTTGTGTGTGGGCAGGTATTTTTAGGGGTAGAATTATCGGCCCGTTCATTTATAATGGCATTCTCATATCTAAGAGGTATTTAGACATTTTAAGGAAAAATATTAAACCCCTTGTTGATGAATTGCCATAATGGAGCTCAGAAAAATATATTTTCAGGAAGACGGGGCTTCGCCTCACAACACTGCAATCGCCTTCAATTTTTTGGCTGAAAATTTTGTTAATTATTGGATAGCCAACCAAGAACCCAATCGTTGGTCGGTCAGGACCTCTGGGGAAGGTTGAAGAATCTTTTCAAATTGCCGACCAATTCTAGATACGAATTGGAACCGGCAGTGATGCAAATTTTTGCTATTCTCACTCGTGTTGCACTTATTAATTCGACAAAAAACGTTCAGAAAAGGTATTACCTGTGTGATACACCTGTGTGATAGACATTTCTGAAGAAATATAATTCATTGTTAGTTCTTTATCATTATTATTATTGTAGTTTTATTTACTAGTAGTAAATATAGAATAAATTGTTATCAGTTTTACTAAAAATATGCGTTTTAGTTACTTCCGTGAAAAGCTTCCTCAACATTTGATAGCTATGAACAATTTCTTTGTTTTATCGCCGCGTCGTCCAAAGCCTACTTGATGCAAATGTGTTTTTCAAAGTCTACATGAAAAAAACCTGAAAGCTCTGTATTTTAAAGATGTCTCTAGCAAAACATCAAGTGTGCTACATTTTTGGAAAGGTAATTCTAAGCTCTATTGAAATATTCAGGAATATACAGGGTATCTCATTGAGATAAATAGTTTTCCATTAATAACTATAAGTTTTTTAAACCATTGAATTCTGCGTAAAAAACTGCCCTGAAAATGTAATTATAGAAACAAGAAATTTTTGACAGGACAAAACATACAGCAATTTTTTGTACAGGTACAGGTACAGGTACGTAAAGAAACCTATTTAAAATGAAAATTTAGATTACCAGATGTAATTGGCTATATCTCACGTTCACTTGGTACTGTATGGTGGCAGGTGGCAGTTTCATGATGACAAATATGTAATCAAATTGAATAACAATAAATAACGGAAAATGACACAACTGAGACTATTAGTTGTGTTATACGCAATAATTTTCGTGGATCAATAATGTTTAAACAAAAATTCACGTGCTCGATTCTTATTCAACCGTAGAACAATGAATGAGTTATTTCGGCTATGAATTTGTGAAACGTATCTACACATATATCCACAAAGTAACCTACATATTCTGAAGCATTGGAAGTGATTTTATCGTAATAACTCAATTAAATATCAAAATGATAATCCAAGCCACTAAAAAATATAACAAATCCTTACCAAAACTTTGTATCGGAAATTGTTATTTTGTTGTTACTATTGACCACTTTTGTTTTCTTTTGCTGTCCTCTCTTGAAAAGAAGTAATTGATGAACCCGACAAGGTATTAAAATCATTGAATTGAATTGAATTATCGAAGATCTGAACAATTTGAACTCTATGCAATTTCCATGTCAGGTTTTCAGAGCTTCAACAAAACATATCTTCGAAAATATGAAAATTATCAATTCACTCATATAATGTTTGAACATTGCTTTCCCGCTTATTTAACTTTGACAAGCTGGAATATTCAAAATCTATGAATTTAAAATGTGCCTTTTTTGGCGATGTTGTTATTGAATCATTTCGAAATATCACCCATCTTTTCTGCTTGTATAAGTACAAGTATGTTCAAAAACATAATATTTTGCAGTAATGAGTTTTCCGAAGAATCTTGAATCCATTACTAGTGAAGGTATCCCTACCCAATAGTGCACCCAATATCATATGTATGTAACCATTTCATTGGAATTTGGAGGGTTCATTGGACGAAAAAGATACTGTAACATAATACTCGAAAAAACAACACAACAGAAATTATGACTGGAAACACCCGAACACTAACCAGTCATTCAACATAAGAAATAATTAGTAAACTTTCAATTGGTGTTTCTCATCGAAACCAGCAGAATGGCCAGCATTACGAACTATGAATGTAGACCCATCATAATGCATACGGCGTTCACCACGTCTCACGAAAAGATGGCGTGTCTGGCCCATAGAACCTGTGCAGTGCATGTAGGGGGAAGACACAGACGCAGATCCATTGGTCGGCGAGGTTCTCAAAGAGAATTTATTACTGTTTCTTCCAACCCTGAGGATGATGTAAAATTCAGAGTTCTGAAATTAAAATATTCATGGTTCCTCACCTGACAAGTCCATCTGCAGTTTGAGAGATTCTAACATTGTTGATAATCCAGTTTGTAGTTCCATCTTCGGTCATCCAGCAATTGGTAGCTTGTAAAATAGTCATTGCCTCATTCACGAGGTGTGTAGTATGGCTTGTACTCGGGTTATCCAGGTAAGAATAGGGAGAATCCCTTAAAAAAATTAAGATGAATATCGAGGCCTTCAATTTGACAAATACAGAGCAAATACGGCTAGTTATTATTCTCTACCAACTTCAAGATTCATGAAAAATGATAATTAAAACTTCCTATGTTTTTATGCCACTTTCAATTGTAACTAACGTTGCTGCAGTTTCGTCCTGCGAGGATATTTTCAAACAAATACAATAAAAGTGGTATAAAAGCATAGTAAGTTTCAATTCTGATTTTTCATGATGATTTTCTACCACGTATTAAGGTCTACACACATCAATCTAACTTCAAGATTATTTCTGAAGTATTCAAAATAGCTATTTATGATATGGGTGTTGAAAGTAAGGTTTTATTTTGTGAGTGAGAAAGTTTGCGAAACAAGCGTAGCGAGTTGAGCAATTTCACGAAGAAAATAAAACTTACTTTTAACACAAATATCATACAAAGTTTTTTGTACAACTGTCCTGTTTTCATAATAAAATAGATACATTTAATATTTCTATAAAACACATTTTGACATCTTTTGTCAGTTAATTATTTTCATGTTATCGCATTTGCTGTGAAGTAGCCGTGTCAGGTTACCACCTGATTACCGACAAACAGTATTATTTACAGCTCACGCGTTTTATTTAAAGTCACATTTGAAGTTCTTGCTGGTGTTTAATGTCTTGCATAATGAAGAACAATAGTGAGGAATTGTGTTTTCGTGAAAATATTGAAGAGGCAGCAAAAAGAGCTTCCACTGAATTGTTACCAAAAAAATCGGCCCAGAATACAAAAGTTTTGTATCTTTTAAATTTGGAACGAATCCAGTGCAAGACAATTCTTGAGTGTGTCCATAAATGAGTTGAAGCAATGTGTATTTCAATGTTGTTTTTAATAGTGTTCATGAGTCTGCTCAACATAACCGCGGCTTGTAACTCCAATCTGGGTATGGTCATCGGTTCCATGGATGGCACTCATGATTTAGCACTTACGAAAGATAATTTGAATTTTTCATCGTATTCAAATCTCAGATAAACGACAAAAACCATGTAGTTCAACTTGTTTGCTTTCATACAATACGGTTCCACGGTTCAAGTGTGCCTTATATCCAATAAAACTGTCGCTATTGTCAAAAGTGGGAATTTGAAGCGATACTACGAAACAACTCATCAGCAATTCCACAAAAACTTTCCTCTTGGCAGACAGGCTTGTAAAGAAAAAATTCAGACAAATCTCAGTTATTACGAAAAGTGTAACAAAATTACTAGTTCGTTGCATGAGCGACCAAGAAAAATCCACTGAAGCAGTGTTACGTGTGTGCTGGACGCTTAATTGAAACCATTTTCATATTCTGAGATAGTGAAGGACTGTATGTTGGCAGTAGTTACGTCACTTTTTGAAGAAAAAAAAGATGTTGTCTCTCCAATTTGTCAGCGAGAAGTAATACACGAAGAACTGAAATATTAGCTGCGGACATTAAAAACACTCTTCTTGAACTTCTGCAAAAGGCACCTTGCTACGCCATTGCACTTGATGAATCATGTGACATTGTTGATGATGAACATATGTCAATTTTCGTAAATTATCCAAGGTCATTGATAATTTTATAACGAAATATAATATCAGTTATGATAAAATGGTTTCGCTTTCTACTGACGGGGCCCCAGCAATGATTGGCAAAGAAAATGGTGTAGTAAAGAGAATCAGAAATAAAAATTCAGGTCTAATATCGTGCATAATTCACCAGGCAGCCCTTTGTGGAAAACTTAGTGCTCACTCAAAGAAGTGACGGACAACTTGGTCAAGTTGATTATTTTATGAGATCCCATTCTGCTCTTCAGCACCGACAATTCAAAGAGTTCCTTTCTGAATGTGATTCTGCGGTTCCTGACTTACTACAATACAACAATGTTCGTTGGCTAAGTAATGGTCAAGTTATTGAACATTTCTGGCTAATAAAAGAACAAGTATGTTCCGTCTTGCAAAACTTGGATACGCAGGGAGACAGCACTTTGGGTTTATAAAAAACGAGCGCAATATACTGGTATGCTGGTTGTGGCTGTGGGTGTGGAAATGGAAAATTATGTGATCTGTTACAAAGCGTGTCTGCTTTTCGGTGTAAGCTGGATATATTTGAAAAAGATATCGTTAAACAAGAATTTATTCATTTTCCGACAATTCTGAAGAAGACATTGCAGAGTTTGTGCAATTTATGGCCAATCTTGAGAACGAATTTGCTACAAGATTCCAAGACTTTGCACAGATAGGCAAACTATCTCAGTTTCTTAAATCTCTATTTGAAATTGATGCAGCGGCAAAATGGACAGATGTGGCTGCCAAGTTGTTTAATCTCTCAAAACCAACCATCACTTCAAATGGAGATAATTGATTTTCAGGAAGATGTGTCTCTGCAAATGTATAGAACGGTATCCACTGAAGAATTGTGGGCTAAACATGTCCCAGAAAAATATCGTGAATATATTGAGGGCTTTGAAAGTATGGGATGACCAATTTCCAGGATATGCAATTACTGTTTTATTTGAATTGTACAAGGATAGAGCAACAAATACCTATGGAGTTGAGGTGAGCTAGAAACTATTTTACGAAATTAACCAATTTTATGAGATATTTTTACTCCAGATATACCTGAGAAATTCTACCGTTGTTCCACCATTCAAACTTACAATTCCTGGTTGTGAAAGCTTTTGTCCGCTAACAAAACTCAAAGAACTTACGACAGATGTGATTCCAGTGGACTGGGATGAAGAATGTAAGACAGATGATAAAGATTTTGTTGTTCCAGAATTAGGAGGTCCATAAATGATATTATTTTACCTCTTAGAAAATGAATATGTACTTGTTTGGCTTTTCTTTTTTTTAAGCGTATCCGTTCTATGAAATCAGTACTGAATTCATTTCTTGTTATTGAATAGGTGAGAGAAAATTTCTGTAACGGCCAAAAATCTCTTATGTCTGTAATTTTTTATTTCAAATTTGGAATGTATACTATGTAACATGGCTACTTGATTTCTCTAATAACTTCTTGAATAAAGAAAACTTTTTCAAATTTGATATCAATAGTTATTGATGGATTTTTTTTAGCGAAACTCCCTGTATAATCCTGCATATTTCAATAGAGCTTAAAATTACCTTTGCGGACATGTAGGGGAAGGCCGGGCAAAGTGTATACACTGGGCAAAGCGAATACTCCTCACTACTTCTAACTTATTTGTGCGTGGTTCAACACGCCACCACTGTAACGTTCGGCCATCTTGGGCCAGTCCGTAGAAAACACCAGAACGAGAGGCCGTGTCGCGTGCCGCCGACAGAGTGAAGATTTGTATTTGATATCATTGATATCATTTCCAGTATTATTAGTTCTTGACCATGAGACATATTTTGACTCGTTTATAGTATATTTAACAGACTGTCAGAATCATTAGGTTTTTTAATGAAACGTGTTAACTTACCCAGTCGGGCAAAGTGGATAGGGAAAAGTGAATATGGTATCCACTTTGCCCGTAATTTGTGATTATTGACTTACAATCTCATAATGTTAATAACATATCTCAAAGATATGGATTCTGTAATTTTTGGCCAGACTCGAAAAGAGTTTAAAAATTTAGCATTCACCTACGCTAAGAAAAATAATTTGAACTACCCGAAAAACTGGGACAAGTACGAAAAAGCTGGAGATGACTGGCTATCAAATTTCCCTCAGGATTTCAGAAGCAACATCGGTTGCAAGGGCGAACGGATTCGATAGTTGAAACGATTTTATGAAAATCTTGAAGCTTCAACTGTGAAATACGATATTGATGCCTCTAGATTATACAACATGGATGATACTGGTATATCAACCACCACTAATAAGCCACCTAAAGTAATATCAATAAGAGAAAAGAAAGAGGTGGGCATAATTGCGTCAGTGCAGGACGTGGTCAATTAACGACGGTCATTAGTTGTTGTAATGCTGCTGGTTCGTTTCTACCGCCATTTTTTATTTTTGCCAGGAAAAAGATGTAGCCCAGATTACTTGATGGTGCGCCTCCTGGCACTCAAGGAACCTGTACTGCAAATGGTTGGACTTCAGGTGAGGTATTCCTTGATTGGATGCATTTCTTTGTGGAACATGTTCGACCTACCCCTGAGAAAAAAATACTTCTTCTATTGGACAACCACGAGAGCCAGCAAAAATAACGTCGTAATTTTATCCTTGACCCCACATACAACTCATAAAATGCAGCCCATGGATGTATCCGTTTACGGCCCACTAAAAACATATTTTGAAAGGGAGATAAATGTTTTTCAAAAATCAAACCCACATCAATATGATGTGGCCAAACTGTTATCACACGCACTTTTGAAAAGTGCAGTAGCTCTAAATGCAGTCAATGGGTTTTTAACTGGCCAAATACCGGATGTATTTGGCCAGTTAATAAGTATGCTTTTGGTGGCCAAGATTACGAACCAGCCGCCGTGATCGCAGGCACATCTAATATGAATATTCACACAGAAGGCATAAACTCACTAGAAAATATCGATATTCTCGGATCTTCTGCAGAAACTTAGTCAACCCCTTCAACTTCACTTCTTCAAGAACTTATTTCTCCAAATCTAATCGATCCTAATAATTTCATGTTCGAGAAGTCCGAGCAGAGTTCCCCCATCTGAGCTTCAGGCCTTCGTTACGCCAATTTTAGTATCTCTTAATACACCTGAAAAGAATAGTATCGACTTCGGATCTACAGGCACACCTGAACTAGAACCTGGATGTTCTCAATCTTTCTCCGCTTTTGAACTAGATGCAACAACAAATGCTCAGAAAAGTGATACATTGCGGCCAGAAACTGAGGTAAATATTCAACAAAATGCGAGCATTTCACTGGATCCCAAACCTGGATACTCCACTTCTCACTGCAGTCCTTTTATGTTAAGACCTATACCAAATCCTGCCAAACCAATCACTACTCGTAAAAGGACATTACAAAAATCGGATAGTTATTTTTTTTCAGTTCATTAAATTTATTACTCACGTTTTCAGACATTGGAATGTGTGTATTGTTCAATTATGAAGGGTAACTGATGATGATTATGGTTGAAGCAATAGATAAAGACTGAGTTGTGCTAGTTATTTTGTTTTTGTACCTTATACATTTTCTGCTAAAGCATTAAATATCTCAAGATATTCACTTTGCCCGACTTTCCCCTACCTGTATATTCCTGAATATTTCAATAGAGCTTAGAATTACCTTTCCAACAATGTAGGACACTTGATGTTTTGCTAGAGTCATCTTTGCAATACAGAGCTTTTAGGTTTTTTCATGTAGACTTAGAAACGCACACTTTGATCAAGGCGATACGGCGATAAAACCGAATGCAAATCTTTAGGTTCAGCTGTCAAAATTTGATTTGAGCACTAAAGACGCTCTTCAATTACTGGTTTCTGTTGAATTTTCAAACACATTCGCAATGAAGTATGACAATTATGAAAAATGGGATATAATAGTCTGTTTCATACAAACCCGGGAAGCAGCAAGCAATTTGTATCACGAGGAGCATCCAGAGAGAAGACAACCTTTAGAGACATTTTCGCAAGATTGTCACACAACNGGACCCCACCTAAAACTATTTGCCGACCCCTGGTCTGAGCTATTCAAAAAGAAATCGACATCTTCAGCTACTGTCAAGAAACTAAGGGAAGTTTTTGCAATATTTGGTTTATCAAAAACTGTGGTTTCAGATAACGGAACAGAATTAACTTGTTCAAAGTTCGAAGAACTCTGCCAATTCAACAGAATTGAACATCGTTAGGTAAATACTTTGGTAGAACGTTCACTAAATACCTTAAAATGTGCCTTCAAGAAAATGAAATGAAGGAAAACTAATATTTCTGCAGACATATCGGTCAACGTCAAACCAGAAAGAAAATCTTCAGCACACTTAAAGTTTGAAAGAGACAAAAGATTTCCAATTGATTTGATGCAGCCATATCCTGTTGAAGAGAAATATGGTGAAATGGAGAAACAATTCAATAATGAACATGGAATGAAGAAACCTAACTTTCCACGTGGACTATTGGTTTTTGCCGAAGAAAAGAAACGTGTTTTTCATTTCAAAATTGGCTTTATTCATCAACTTAATCTCCATCAAGAGCCACACAATCATTCCAGGGCCACTCTAACATTTCAATACCACTTTTGTAGAACGATTTATGTTTTGCCTCAAAATAGGCCTCAGGTTCAGCAATAACTTCTCCATTCGAGCGAAATTTTTCACCGATGAG